TCGCAACAGTACCAACATGTAGCCTAAGAAGGATTTCTAACATGATTGGCAGCTCAATTTCTTTAACACATGGTAAAAATACGGTAACGACAAGATTATTCGACTATACAGTTCCATGGAATTGGCCAAGTCACAATTCTTATGATGCACGCCTATGTGCCTGTCACCTAGCATCTGTGTCACCTTAACACCAATCACATAACATATTATTCGGGGTTTATACCCTCAGAACCAATTTTAGAAGTATTACTTACCTCAAACTGTGCAAAACTCTACTCCAACAAGCCCTTGCCTCGCGAAACGGCCTCTGAATGACTCGAATCTAGCCACAAACAATTCGATACGATCAACTCAAGCTATAGGAATCAATTCCATATAAAAATGCTAAGTTCTTAATCAAAAGTCAAAAAGTCAACTCAAAAGTCAATCACATGGCCCACGTCTCGGAATCCGATAAAAGTGACAAAATTCAAACACCCGTTCAACCACGATTCCACCCATATCAAAATTACTCAAATCTGATACCAAAATCTCGATCAAATCCCCAAAATTCAACCTAAGGATTTTTCTCCATTTTTCCCAATTTTTCAACCCAAACCACAAATTAAATAATGAAATCAAAGATATAAACATGGAATTTAACCAAAACTAAGTAAGAAACACTTAACCCAATCACTCCCTTGAAAATCTCTCCAAGAATCGCCTCCAATCGAGCTCCCAAAATAAAATTTGTGAAATAGGCTCAAACCCTCATTTTCTGAAAAATTTAAGTCTGCCGAGATATCCTTAATTGCGATCGCAAAAATTGCTTTTCGATCGTGAAGCACAATGCAACTGACCAGATATTCAACCCAACGTGAACGCGTCAATCCTTACGCGAACGCGAAGAACTGCTTTCATCAACCTACGCGATCGCTTCTATCTACACGCGATCGCGAAGAGCAAATGTGTGACCTCAGCTGGTGCCTCCTATGATCCACGCGAACGCGACCTTAGCCATGCATTCGCGATTCACTGCATCCCACAATTACACGATCGCAGTCCCTATCTCGCGAACGCGTAAAACTAAGACCTCCACTGCCCAATTAAGCCTACGCGATTGCGGATCTGTCCACGCAATCGCGTATAAGAAAACCAGATCCGTGCGCCAAAAATTTTCAGCAAATCTCCAAGTCCAAAATTTGATACGTTAACCATCTGAAATCCACTGGAGTCCCCCGGGACCTCAACCAAACATACTAGCAAGTCCTAAAACTGTAACGACCCGGCCGGTCGTTTTGAGTATTATAACCCTATTCCCCCATTTACTATTCAAGTTATACTTTACAGTTGTTTAATGACTTACCAGCTTAGTTAGCTCGGGTCAGGAAGGATTTCGGAGTGAAATGAGATACTTAGTCTCATAATTAAAAACTTAAGTTGAAAAAATTAATCGGATATTGACTTATGTGTAAACGACTTCGGATTTGAATTCTAATGATTCCAATAGCTTCGTATGGTGAGTTTGGACTTAGGAGCGTGTCCAAAAAATTATTTGGAGGTCTGTGGTGGAACTAGGCTTGAAATGACGAAAGTCGAAGTTTTGGAAAGTTTGACCGGGAGGTTGAATTTTTGATATCGGGGTCGGAATCCGATTCTGAAAATTTTAATAGGTCTGTTATGTCATTTATCACTTGTGTGCAAAATTTGAGGTCAATCGGACTTGATTTGATAAGTTCCGGCATCGTTTGTGGAAATTTAAAATTTCAAAGTTCATTAGGCTTGATTTGGGGTATGATTCGTGGTTTTAGCATTGTTTGATGTGATTTAAAGACTCGACTAAGTTAGTATGATATTTTAGGACTTGTTGGTGTATTTGATTGGGGGAGCGGGTGAGTTCCGTGATGGTTTCAGATCATTTTTCCTAGTTTTGCAACTGCTAGAACTGGTGTCTGGTATTGTTCTTCGCGAACGCGAAGGGTCTCACACGTTCGCGAAGAAGGATCGTGTCTCGCGAATGTGAAGGGCAGAGGTAGGAAGGCATCGCGAACGCGATGAGGAGGTCGCGAACGCGAAGAAGGAATCTTGGCAGCACATTTTTGTGCTTCGCGGACGCGAAGCTATGGTCGCGAACGCGATGAAGGCATTTCTGGGCAGAATTAAAAGTTTCAAAACGGGGGTTTTGAGTTCATATCACAAAATCAAATTGGGAGCTCGGTGGAAGGCGATTTTTGGAAAGATTATTGCGTGGGTATTTCAGGTAAGTGATTCTTATCCAATTTTGATTAATTTCCATGATAATGCATTTGAATCCATCATTTAATGGGTGAATTAAGTTGAAAAATTTAGAAAATCCTCTTGGTTTAATTTGAAGATTTGACGGTCGAGTTGAGGTCGGATTTCGGTAAAATTGGTATAGGTAGACTCGTGGTTGAATGGACTTTCGGATTTTATAATTTTTGTCGGGTTCCGAGACGTGGGCCCCACGGGCAATTTTTGAGTTAAATATCGGATTTTATTGGAGAATTATTTTTTTTTTATGGAATTAATTCCAACAATTTAGATTGACTGAAATGAATTAATTGTGACTAGATACAAGGTTTTCGGAGACCAATTCTCGAGGTAAAGGCATAGTAGAGTGAGAAATTACACAGTTTGAGGTAAGTAACACTTATAAAATTGGTTCTGAGAGTACAAATCCCCGAATTGGTGTTATATAAATTATTTGAAGGTGACACACACGATTGTTGACGAGCGTGTGGACGTGCACCATTGAAAGTGTGACTTGAATAAATTCTGTGAAGTTGTAAAAATTAAAGAATCTTGTTATTATCCGAACATTTTTTCCGTGTTAAAGAAATTGAGCTGAGGCTCTTATTAAAGATCATGTTTAGGCTACGTGCCGATATTTTGGGACCCATGGGGTCGTGTTTTTATTGAATTAATTATTTGAAAAATGTACATTTTACACTCAGTCATATTCATCCATTGTGAGAATATTTATGGGATCGAGTTGCGCGCCGCAGCAGGCCATATTGCCTTTATATATATTATTATTATATGGATCGGGGTTGCTCACCAGCAGCAGGCCTTATAGGCTTTATTATTATTATTATGGGATCGGACTGCACGCCGCAATAGGCCATATTGGCTTTATATAGCGTTTGGGCTGAATGAGCCCTTTCGGAGTCTGTACACACCCCTAGTGAGTGTTGATGATTATATATTCGGGATGGAATTCCCAGGGTATGGACTTGCCTTACTTATTTATATTGTGATGCATATTCCCTCGACATGGATCTTGTCTGTAACATTTACATTTGAGGATAAATTACCCCAGGGCTGAATTGGCCTTATACGGTAATGAATGACTGACTGCCAGTCAATGTGTGTATATATATATATACGGGATATAATATCTCTGGGCTGAATTGGCCATAAACAGTACCGAGTGACCGAATAATTTGTGAACAGTATTTACGTGAGGTCTTTTTACTGAGAAGTCATATTACTCATATCATGCAGTATTGATCTATTTCACTTGTATTGAGTTTAACTGTTGAACTTGAAAGCATGCCTATATTTTTGTACCACTATTTATATTGTATTGTACCTGCGAAACTCGTCACTACTTTCAGCCCAGAGGTTAGTCTTGTTACTTATTGAGTTGGTTGTACTCATACTACAATATGCACCTTGTGTGCAGATCCAGGTGCTCCCGGATACGACGATTGCTAGATTTCAGAGTTATTTCTGTCGGAGACTATCAAGGTAGCTGCTTGACGTCCGCAGATTTGATTCCCTTCATGTTTAATTATTGTACTGTTCTATATTTCAGACAGTGATTTTATCCGTCAGATTTTATATTCATTTAGATGCTCATGTACTCAGTGACACCGGATTTTGGGAATGATTATAACTGTATTGTGAGATTTCTTCCGTTGAATTTAAATATTATGTTTTTAAACTTAAAAGATATGGTATTTTATTGAGATTGTCGGCTTGCCTAGTATTGAGATAGGCGTAATCACGACATGTGAGATTTTGGGTCATGACAAAAACATCATACAAACTCACTCGAAGCATCAAATCACATCAAACAACGCTAAAACCACGAATCACGCATTGATTCAAGTATAATGAACTTATGAACTTCGAACTTCTACATTCGATGCCGAAACCTATCAAATCAAGTTCGATTGACCTCAAATTTTGCACACAAGTCATAAATGAAACCACGGACCTACTTCAACTCCCGGAACCAAAATCCGAGTCTGGTAACCACAAAGTCAACTCTCGATCAAACTTCTAAATTTTCAACTTTCGCCATTTCAAGTCTAATTCAACTACAGACTTCCAAATCACTATCCGGACACACTCTTAAGTCTAAAATCATCCAACGGAGCTAACGGAACTATCAAAGCTTCATTCGGGAGTCGTTTACACATAAGTCAACATCCGGTCAACCTTTTCAACTAAATCTCCCAACCTTGAGACTAAGTGTCTCAACTCATTCCGAACGGCAAGTCACATAGCAACTATTAAGCATAAAATGAGCAGTAAATGGGAGAACAGGGCTACAACTATTAAAATTACCGGCCAGGTCGTTACAGGCTCGCTCGGGGCTCGCCCCGATAATGCCTTTTAAAATACTGGTTTAGACGTTGTATTTAGTAAATCCTTAGAAGCTCATGTACTCGGTGATATACTAGTTCCAGGAGGTTATTAGACGAATGTTTGATTGGACTCGTTATGTATTACTAAGCTTTACCCTTTATTATGATATTATATTGTTTTATATCTAACTTTGTTTTTTTATTTTTGTTATGTGTTAGCTTGTCTAACAATCGGTTTTAAGTGCCATCACAATCCTTTCGTCGGAAATTTGGGTCTTGACATTTGGCTTCATACGGTATAAGAAAATTTTGTTAACATGGTTAATTGAGTGGAAAGAAGTTAGTGCACAAATTGGTTTTATATACAAAGTTAACCAGTAAAATCGTAGGGGTTTGATTCACAAGTCAGGAGTTCAACAACAGTCTAATAAATCCCAAGTTGAAACCTCACTATTTTTTGCACCTCTACAGAAAAAGGATTTGGGGGGGGGGGGGGGGGGGGGGGAGAGGGGAAAGTAGCTAAAAGTCTAAAAGCAGTACTGCTATTAAACAGAAGACTTTTAGAAGAAAGGTCATTTTTTGGACTGTTTAGAAGAAGACTTTTTCCTTGGAATGCATTTTCCTTTTACAGCCCTTTCCTTCTTCAATTCCATATCTTCTGCTTCTGCTGTTATTTCTCTCTGTCCTGCCTTTGAGCTCCTGCTCAGTTATAAAGTAAAGTCACGTCAATTTATATGCTATACACTTAACCAACATTAACTTCAAATTAAAGTAGACACTTTGTCACCCAAATATTAAAAGCCTCAGAAGCTTGTCTACTGTTAACTTTACTGAATTGTAAAAAGTATCCTTCTTAAAAGTTTTTAGCATTGTTGTAAAAAGTTTTTGTAAACTAGTCAGTAAAATGTTCTATAACCTTACATTCACTGGGTGCTTGGACATAAGAGTACGTTAAATTTCGGAAAAAGTGAAGTTTATTTTCAAGTTGAAAATGGTATTTAAAAATAGGAGTTGTTTGGATATGAATACTCACTTCGATCCACTTTAATTGATTATTGACTTTTTTTTTGTGGTCTGTAATATTTAATTTTTTCAAATATCAAAAAGGAATTAATTATTTTTTTCAAAGATACCCTTAAAGTAAAGAACGTAGGAGTATTTGTTATATTTCTAATGAATAAATCAAGGTTAATATGACCAATTTCATTAATAATTAATGCTAAAAGATAAATATATGCGAAAACAACAAAAAAATTAATTAAAGTGGACAAGAAAGAATACAAATTAAAGTTATTTTTGAATTTTTGTAAATGACTTGGAGTGATATTAGCTTTTTGTAATTTTTCAAATTTCCAAAAATTCCAGAATTTAACTTAAGTTGGATTTAAAATTTTCATGGTGTAACATTGATTCCGAAAAAAGGTAAAAGTGTCCAAAGAAAGTAAGAAATTTAAGGCCAAACAGACCCTTAGTAGATAGTACTCATCATTCAATAATGTATGTACGAAAATTAAGAAGAAAATATAGGCTTATAAAATTTGTGATCTTTACATATACCATAATATATACTCCTATGTTATTATGGGGAATTGTTTTTTGAAACTAGTGATTTTAATTATTTCATAATATTTGTATTACTAACAAAATTTCTAATTAAGATAAAATAAAATTTTAAATAAAATTATTTTTAAATTTAGAAAGTTGTGATGGATGGTAAGACTTGCAAGAATAAAATGGAGATCACTTAGAAAATACCTTTCTTCGTTATAGGAAGATGATTTCTTCAACTGCGGTTCAACTTGAGCTGTTCGTTCCTCCGTCGTCATTGATTCGACAATGCTCCCACTAAAATATTCCTTCTCCTCCGACTGCAAACTCCCAAATCGTGGATTCTCCGACATGTACTTGATCTCTTCCACCTCATTCACATCCAAATTCTTCGCCGCCACTTTACACAACACCCCTTTATGAAAACTAGCACTACTACTGCTACTCTTCCTAGCCACCACCACCGTGCACGGCGGCGACGGCGGAGTTTGCTTCACAATCGTTGGCTCAGTCTTTCCTCTAAACGACACTGATCCTCCGCAGGAGATGAGTTGAAAGAGGACCGAGTTTCGACTCAGTAGTGACTCGGAGGCAACTGGATCACCATCTTCGAACCGCTTGGACGTGTTGGTAATTTCATTATTAATAGGCTTGTCTGAAAGTGAAGAGGATATTGCTGAAGGAGGAGATAACGAGTTGGTGTGAGTTAACTCGGTAGGATTTTTCCGAGTAATTGGTTGGATTAACTCGTTTTGATCATCAGTGCAAACACCTCTAGAGCATGTGGAATTGGGTGTAGTTGAGCTAGTGTAACTTGATTTCTCTTCATATTCTTCTTCAATATTTTCGTCTAGGTAATGAACGTTGTTCTGAACAATTTCTGCCTCTGTATGTCGTTTTGGACCTACTGATTTGCGTTTTGGCAGGAAGTTTGACTCTTGAACTTGTTGGCATGTGTTTCTCAATTGTGGGGACTCTGTTAAATGAAGTTGCTGAAATTTTTCTGAACGACAAATTTGTTTTTAGAATAAAACCAAAAAAAACTAAGACATTGTAAGAGAAAGTTTCATGAAATTTAGTTACTTATATTATAGCAACACTTTATGGACATGTCTACAATAATATAGAGTAAAACAATTACATGAAATTCTGAAATTGTCCAATTGATTATTGATAAATCAGGAGTGAAATTTTGATTCATGTTTTTTTCGTAAAAATAATTTCATTGAAGATAAGGTTGTGGGGAGTAATTACCTGTGGAACCTTCAATAATTTCAGATCCTTTGAGAACATACTCAGCGCCTTCAGATGGGCAGCAGATGAAGTCATTTTCAGCCAAGTCATTCCACACATACCCATTCTTGTAGCTCCTACAAAGTTACCATTTTATCAGTATTTAATAAATTACTTTGTAAATATTAGAGTTAAAATTTCCAGGTAAACAAACTGACAAATATTATAATTAGTGGGGGTGATAAGAGCAACTCCTAGGACTGTTTGTCCATAGATATTTCTTTCTTTTTTCAGAATTATTTTTTCAAAAACATGTTGTCCATAAAATTTTGCAAGTTTGGAAATTTTTCGAAAATAAGTTTTTAAAAAATCAAAAAGTGGTTTTGATCACATTTTCAGAAATATTTTCCCCATTTGCAACATTTTTTCAAATGAAATGCAGGTTCAAATACTATTTTTCAACTTAACTCTAAACATACCTTCTTTTTCTCAAAAATTAGTCCAAACGCCTACTTATTTGTTACATCATGCTAATTAACTATGAGCTACTATCAATTTTCATTTACTTAAGCACGAACTACTTCTATAAACTCACCTCATTTTTTCCCTAGAAATACATTACTATCTTGATTCCAAGCTAAAAATGTAAGCACAAAAGAATAAACGAACGATAATCTCACTAATGTTCTATTCATTTTTTATACTTTGAACAGAGCTCAGTTTAACATTTTGGCATAAATTTCAAATATGCATAATTCTTCCCTCTTTCGCATTTGGTAATTTCATCCAATGCTGTGTTAAAAGTTTTATAGCATTTGATACTTGGAGAAAAACAAGAAGCAGAGATGAACAAAGGGCATTTACCTTTTGCAAGACCAAGAATATAGTGAAGGCATGCCTCTACCTCTCAAGATGGTAAGCCTATCAATCACATCTGTGCAAAATTTGCATTCCATTCCATTTATTTCACAGCAAATACAACACCAATAAATCAAGAAGAGTGAAAAAAAAAAAGACAATAAACGTTTGATTTATATAGTGACCTTTCAAGCGAAGCTGTTGATGAGCAAGATGAGTGACTTCCATGTAATGAGGATGTTCAAGTTGGCCATTTCTTGAGAGGTAATACACAACTTGAACCTTTCTGAAACTTGGTCTTATCACTGATCTTCTGCTGCTTTGTGATTTCCCTCTTTCTGATCTTTCTGGGCTATTCTCTCTGCATATTCTTCTTCCATTCCCAACCTCCATTTTCTTTCTTTTTTCTTTATCTTCTTCTTATTTTACTTTGTCTTTGTCGTTGAGAAGTGATCCTTTTTTATGATCTCAAAAAGGCTATGCAGAATAGTTAATGGAGAATGGGAGATGGAGACAAAGGAAAATACAAGGCCAACTCCTCGAACACTGCATATAAGCAATAGAAATTCACTGTATTTTTTCTACTGAGTCTACTGCTACTACTACTATACCTACTGTGCCTTGAGATCCTATGGAGAGGGAATTAGGTGTTAAGTCATGATCCACCTTTTTATTTCTCTTCTCTTTTGACTTTTACCAGCTGCTGTGGTTTTTAAATTGGGTAAACCTGCAGTCAAAATGGAATAAAAAAGTAAATTTATCAGAAAAGTATAAAATACTTAAAATCTGAAAGGACCTTTAAGCCTTGTTTTCGGAGATATATATATATATATATATATATATA